TTTTTTCCGAGACTTTTACTCAACGATAAATTTTGGTTTTCTAGTCGTTGATTTCAAACCGTTTCTTCTTATCTGTCAGTACTGTTAAGCCATTTTTTTCATATTTTTATCTCCTCATTAAGTATATTACGAAAAAATGGAAAACAACGTACCTTCCTGCACATAAACAAGAGTTACAACAGTAAATAAGTTGAAAAATAAATATCAAAAACAAAGATCCTGTCACATTTCTGCTAATATCTCGGCAGAAACAGAACCAAAACCGGGAAATTGAGTTATAAACAGAATGGACTATTGCGAACAAAATGGCACTAATGTCAGCTGACGTACGCAACTAATAAAGAAGTTTAACTTACCTCTTCCGAAGCTTCTCCGGTGTCTTCCGGATGCCTGCATATAGCATAGCGGCACACTGCAGATTCCGCTGGAATTGTTCCAGCCAAAAACATTTCCCCACCTAAACCAAATTAGAATTGAATCCGCCTATATATATGGACCATTTCATGCTTTTTCGTACACTTTTTCCACTTAAAGTTTTTAAATTTCATCAAAGTTGGCTAATTAGTTGAGTCTAGGGCAGCATACAGAATGCAGAGGACGTGGAAAAATGGATTTCATATCAAGTTACACGTGTAGAGCTCAAAAATTTCAAAAAAAAAAATTTTTTTTAGCTGACTGTAGGGACTAAACTTATCTTCCCTACAGTAAGTCTTAATCTGAGTTAACTTAAGGCGTAACTAAACCTATCTTATTGCTGTAATTTCCCCTTTTGTAAATTACTGTCGTAGCATACTTACAATTGCTACGGTACTTAACTAAATTGAACTAGATCTCCTTTAGCTTCTATTATTACAGAAAATTTTTTCTGTATTACTACTTTTCTTATATCACTCTCTTATATCAAACTTCTTTGTTTCAGTTATCAGCAACTTTGATTATTTTAAATTATGAAGTAGAGGTAGACAGAAGAAAAGAAAGAAGTAGATTGAGCAGTAGAACAATCTAACAAGATTCTAATTTAAAATTGAGTTTCCTTAAAGAATAAAAATTTAATTTACCACTGACCTGATATGATGTTTCGCCAATACAGACACAGAAAATAGTCCATTCAGTTTATTATAGATTCGAATTTAAGAAAACAACTTTCTCTCGACTGTTGCACAATAAGCAGACGAATAAAAATAATAAAAAAACACAAAATCACAATCGTTTCTCTCCGAGATCGACACAATCCTCCCAAAGTTTTGAACTCTTTGTTTTTTCAGTCTTTTGGAGTTTGGCCTCCCAAAAGGAACTATTCCTTTGTTTTCCAAGAATGAACAAACAAAGAGTCCACTATTGTTACAAGTTTTGGGTCGGCAAGGTTTTGTTTAATTGCACTGTTAATTATTAAATTTATGTTCTATTTTGTACAACTAATATTACAATTTTACAACTTTACCGTACCCTTGCCAATATCAATGAAGTCATCGACACTGACGTGTCCTCTGCTTTTGAATTCATATTAAGTAATCTAATTTTGCTAGAAAATTTTATAGATACAGTAAAAACAGGATTGCGAAGAAATATAATTAAACAAAGGTCCTTCCGAATTTTTTAAGAAACACATCTTTTGCATAAAATTTTTCGTTGTTCAAATTACCAAAATTTGGTGATGATATCTCTTTGATATCAAGAGTGAAGAGCCAGAAAGGAATGTGTAGCTGAAAAAAGGCAGTGCTTTTACAGTAACTTCACGTGCTCTGCACTGGTAAATCGCTTCTGAGAGCCAGCCATGAAGAGCAACTCTTAACCCTTTGTGTAATTCAATCTTTTGTTAAAATAGGTATATTTTACTTTAAAATGTTAACGGTTTATTATTCTGTACAGTGGTATTAAGCAGTCTTCACTCCTGTGGTTTCTGCTTCTCATGTTTTCATCTGTTAAAATTGTGCAGCTAGTGCAAGTTTTGGAGTCACAGAGAGGTCTAAACACCTACTGCCTCACGTTGTTAGCTGCTGGATTCAGGTTTACCTTAAACTTTCTGTTTCTACAGAACCACAACACATAATTGAAAGAAGGAACGATAAGACAAGTTTCTGTTCGTTTGTGCAACCAAAACTAACGAGTACAAGATGCAGACAATTCTCAAAGTTCAGAAACCGTGGCAAACGAAAAGTAGAAAAGTGAGGGTTACCTCTTACAGCTCTGCAGAGTAATGATTTGTTGATATTTCAAAATAAAATACAACTTCTGCAACGAATTGCCAACGCTTAAAGTGTGTCGGATTTTTAAAGCAGCTGTCTGCGGCTTTTCTTTACCGTAAAATACATGGGATCACTGTAAAAATAATGGGTTTTTTTCAGTTTTACATTCCGTTCCGGCTCGTACCTCTCGGTACCAAAAACTCGCTACCCCCAAATTTTGACATGTTGTAAAGCGAAAAATTCTACACAAAATTTGTCTTTTTTAAATATTTAAAATTTTTTTTGTTGGTGGCTGTTTGAAACCTTATAAAATAATAAACAAGCGCTTAAAAGTTCAGGAAATGATCTGACGGGTTAAAAGTTGTCAAATTTTATTAAAAACAAGCTAAATTACAAGTCTTCAAAGGTAGGGGTGTCGAACGGCAACCTGGCAAATTTTGGAACCTTGAAGGCGTGTGAATTCACTTTTCCAGGTTTTTTTTTCGCTTTCTGTATACTGGCCCAGATTACTAACTGGCAAAACTTGAAAAAAATCTGAGATATGAAGGAGAAAAAGTGTGCGATTTGGCACGGAAAGGGCGATATATATTCTTATTTGCTTTATTCACCTTTTTACTGCGCCACAAGTTGCATTTTGCTTCTGACTTCCTTGCTTCACTGCTTCCATGCTTTGATCTTTGGATTGTTATAATGAAGTGTCTATCGTGAACGAATACCACTACATTGGGTAACCAGTCGGATGTGTGAAGGAGTTTTTCTTCCAGTTGCGAAAAAGCAGTATTTCTCTCTGCAAAGCGAAGCTAGGGCTCGTTCCGGTTAACAAGTACTCAAATTACTTTGCTCTAAGCAATCTGCACTGCAACACATACGGTCAGTTAGGAAGTGCTGTTCTGTCATTTGCATCATTTTCTTGTATGAAAGCTAATAAAGCGAGAAAACAAAGGTGGTGCTTTATAATCGGAACACCATTTATATCTGTATAAGTGGACTTCACTGAAGCACCGAAAATTTTTTTGAGTATTAGTCACAGAAAGGTACGATTTAAGACGGGAAAGCTGAAGGAATGAAGCTAGGTGGAGCATAGTGAGATTCATCCGGGACATTGATATAACTGAGATCATTTTCTTTGTTCTGAGTAAGGATCAGTTTCTTTATTTTTCCGCCGCAACTTCGAAGCTGAATTTGTCGCTCTTGCAGTTAAGCGTGCCCATCCACAAAAACACGTTTCTACAGTTCATTTACATTTATTTCTTCTGTATAGGATTTTCGACACTGCCTCATTTATCTTTAATATTTACAGATTTGTCTGAACACTTCTGCTAACTTTTTAACGATTCAGTGGTAAAATTCATTTATAGTTCTTATGACATTTCACAAGTCAGCTATTTTAGTAGAACATTGAGTATTGGGTATTGGCTGCAGTTTGTTAGCGCAGTCTTAGAAATCTGAAAAATTGCAGCCCACCCTCTGGATATGTTTACTTTCACAATTTCTTCTGGCTCACCAAAAAATATCTACATAGCAGCTGTAAACGATGCTTTAACTGTGTACGCGGAAGTTATAGATCTGTAATCTGATCAAGGAGCTCTTGCAAAAAGATAGTTTAAAGGCGTAACTTTATATTTGTTCTAAACGGCCTTCATTGTTCAGTTCATAACTTCGTAAAAGTTTTTTACTTGAGTTCGCAAAACTTAAGTTGTTGACAGTTTTGGAAACTATTTTGAACAAAAAATTTGAGTGCTTTTGTCCATTGTTTTTGCTAAAAAGGCGCGAATTAAAAGTCGGCAAGCTGTGAGCATTGTTATAATGCAAGAGGGGCTTCTGGGAGAGTAAGAATCAGTTACTAAGCATTAATGAACTCAACGCTATGCAGTCAAAAAACCCGATGGCTTTGTAGTTCAAATCTTCATTACAAAGCGATGTCATAAAACGGCATGAAAGTTAAAAGAGAGGTAGCGTCATAAAGTTAGCAAGGGATGCATGGACAATTTTGAACTACCACAAACGACTTTGAGAAACAGGTAAACGGAAAGTGAAAATAAATTGACAAAGAAAAAGTATATTTGGAGGTGAGCACTCTGTACTGCAGTGACGCCCTGACTTTTCTTTTATGGATATCTTTTAATTCTAAAGTTTTTTTAAAAAAATATCGGTGTAATAACAACCACTTGCATGACCGGCGATAAAAAGTTAACAAATCACCTTGAGCTCCTATAATTTTATCTTTGATTTCTTTTTGTTGAAAACATCTCATATTTTATAATGAGAATAAAATAATTTTTGTAGCGAATAAATTTTTAATTTTCCTTAACAGGATTATTATAAAACATAATATTTTGCCTGTAAGAAAAAAAGAAGAATGTAAGGAAAGTGGTTTGCTATTGCTTTTCCAGTTTTTTTTGTGCAAAACCTTTTCATTCAGATGGCCAATGTTCTTTTCAACATTAGTATATTAACACTTACTGCTTCATCAGCCTTCTTGTTGCTGACAATTGTGTAAATCAAGAAAAAAAAATATTCATTTATTCAAACATTTATTTAATTTTCTATTTTAGTTCAAAGCAGAGTTTTTTGACCCAAATGTTTTTCGAGAGGTTGTAGAAGCGTCTGGCGCAAGGTAAGTCGTTTGCTAAAAATCCACTTTTTAAACTGCTTACCCATAATTTCTGCGGACTTTGATGTTCTACCCAAAACTCATTTGAAGCTTCAGATTTCATATAATCTGTAAGCATTTCGTTGGATAATACAGTAAAAACCTTTTGTAAATAAGTAGAAATCTTGTTAACTCTCAAGATATATTTGCTTTTTTTAGCTGTGGTCTCGCTAATTTTTACGTGGCGATTGGAACTCATTTAAAATAACTTAATCAGAAACGTCTTTTTGAGAGAACTGAAAATTATAGGTATTTTGTAATCACCAGTAAACATCACGAAGGGTTCACATTATGGCCAAGCAAAACTTCTTGGAGTTGGAATTCAGTTGACGTTGGCCCTCATAAAGATATAGTTGGTATGTTCAAATGTGCACGTTCTCAAATTGCCAGAAATCCAGGAAGAAATTTATTTTAAATTTTCAAAAATTTGTGCGAAACCTTTAGATTTGTGGGATGACTAACTAACAACCCTTGCCTTCACTTTGTAGTCTAAGTAAATGAATTGATTGGTACTGTTTAGGGGAGCTAAAAAAAGCATTCTTACAATCCAAAGTTCACTTCGGGATTTATTTTTCTCAGTTTGAGTGGTTCAACAGGTATTTCCTTAGTGACTCAACTAACAACACTACTGATTATGTCGAAGTAAGCTGTAATTTGTAAATTATTCTTTTTACTGGCTGCTTTAGAAAAATCTTCGATACTTCTTAGACTCAGGAATTTTGGCATTGTATCTTTCTTAGTAATCTTAGAAACAATTGAAAATTTTACCTTTCAAGCACTTCAAATAATTTATTTGAAAAGTAGGGGATTTCTGCTGAACTACTACGGCTTTAGCTGGCTGTGTCGCGGAGAACAAGAGGCGTTACTGATAGCCACCGAGCCGTTGAGAAACAGTATTTTTCGTGTGCAAAATTCTAAACTTTCAGAAGATTTCCTATCCTCAAATGTTAGAACTAGTCAGTGACTACCAACCAGAAATTATCTGGAGTGATGGAGACTGGGAGATGAGCGATAAGTATTGGAAATCAAAAGAATTTCTAGCATGGCTTTACAATAAGAGGTTGCGTTAAACTGTCATTTTTTTCTCATTCCTGTATATCATTTGGTGACTTTGTTCAAGACGCGGCAAACAGCTCAGTATTATAGTACTGCTAAAGTTGCATTACTAGACGGCGTCTGATATATGTGCCGTTTCAATAAAACAAACTCTTATCAATGTGCATAATGGTTAGCTAGGCATCTGTAAGTTTTTAGCCCTGTCAAAGATACTGTTGTGGTAAATGATCGATGGGGTGCTGGTGACGCAGGGGTGCACGGTGGATTCCTGACTTACAGCGATCATTACGATCCAGGTGAAAATGAAATTTTTGGCTATTAGTTTTGTTAAAAAGCTCATTGAATTTCGGTTTTCAAATCTCATTCACGACTCCTTGTTACACCTTGTAGCCTTCAGCGCCGTAAAAGTAATGTTTCATTTTTTTCCACATAAATGGAGCTTTCTAATACAGAAGAACTGTCTATTACAGTTACTTTGTGGCACATAGGGTTTTTTTTATATACGGCTCTTCTTTGGCAGAAATTGCTACTGCATCGAAACAAGAAAAAGCAAGATTTGGCAGAATTTATGCATTTGAAAAATCAACGACCACAAGTGCCATTTTCTGCAGTGAAGAAGCTCACTTAGCATATACAATTTAAGAACTTAAATATGATCATAAGCACCTGGAAATGCAACAAAATATTCGGCTCTCATTTAGACTGGTGGCCCCATCATGCTGATTGGCTGAAGACGATGATGCCAATCAAAAGCCCGCTTTTTTTGTACAGTATGTGGATGCCATATACAGTATGTGTAACTCACTGATACCGGTGAAAGATACCTCCTCACTTTTCTGATGAAGAGCCTGCGCAACCCGTCCAGAGTTGGTTGCATACAGTTAT